CTGCCTGGCCAATGCAGACATTGTTGAGCTTTCTACTCTTATCATAACAGGTTACAATATGAAAGAATGACTCCCTCCCTATATATGATGTCAGACCTCCAGACTCATCGTAATCATGATCAATAGATCGCATAAAAAACACACACTGCATTCAATGAGCAACATGCTGTCCACCACTGACCAGTCCAGCATGACAAATGCCCACAAAACCGACACCAGTTGCGATTAGGCAGAGAGCTCAGTTGACCGTCTGAAGTCGATGTAAAACTGCTGCACACTCTTTGAGCATCGTACAAACAAGTGCTTTGAGAATGACTTTGAATTCGGTGAGGTGCTCCCGCGTTGGCCGAGCGCTTTCCAGACACGCGTCTAGTGGCCCTTGATGAATCCAACGAACGAAACGCGCACAAGTCAGCATTACGCTCCTATCGAAAGTGTGTTTGAAACGGGGCGCAACTTGCATGCCTCAAGTGGGATTCTTCCAAAACGCACACGAGTGCGCATGCAGTGTCCGGATGCCCAATTTCCATCTCGATTGCGGAGCTGTGTTTATTTATTGATGTATTTGTTGTTGAAAGTTGCCGGTATTCTTACCTGCTGAGACACCGGTTGTCTGCAGAACCAGGGTTAACGTAACAAATGCAGCTACAGAGGAATCCATAAGCCACCTTTTCGTTTTCCACCTTGTGGACCACCTCTGCATCTCCATAGTCGTCAATGAAACTTTGGGGCGACTTCAAGGTGCTTTCAAAGTGGCGTCCCTTCCACGATCCCAAGTGATGATGGAAACTGTGCTACAAAGAAGCCATATGTGATGAGTTCTTTGCCTCTTCTCTCAGCCACCACGAGGCCCCCCGATCCTCCTTGCCAGTGCCCAGCTTCCCAGTGAGGGTAGTCGGGCTTTAACCGAGGCGCACCGACTGCAGTCGCTACACTTGGTGAGCACACGGGCAGGAGGGCTGGGCAAAATCCACAAAAACCAGAGCTGCATTTACCGAGGGGGGGAAATGACAAGGCAACCAGCCCCCGATTAGCAAATCACGGGGCTGGAAATTCTCCTGTGGGTCCACCCATCAGCCTCGCAACGCGCCCCGGCTCTCGGCGCGGTGCGCTTGAGGAAAGAGGAAAGATAAACATGGACCGACCAAGTGGTCAAGGAGCTGTAAAGCGGAGCATCATGGTGGCTGATTAATGCATTTGTAAAATATTGATTGACACAACCGTCAGAAGGCGGGGTCATATTAGAAAGAAGAGAAAGAATAAATGTATGCCTGAAGATATAGTCTAATTTCCCTTCATTCATCAAGTTTGTAGCATCGAGATATTGATTGCCATGTCTGCATCCATTATCCCACAGTAATGCGGAATAGTCCAATACAAAATATTGAGGTGCTTGAATGGTTTTTCTGTGGGTATTTTATTGAGTCTGTGTCTTGCTACTGGCAGGCAACCAGTCCAAGGCGTACCCAGCCTCTCACCCAAAGTCATCTGGGGTAGGCTCCAGCTCACCTCATGATGACAGACAATACCAAAAAGAAATGTAAGCTACATTACCCCAAACATTGCGCTAATTACAACATGCATAATGCTGATACAGCTCCGTTGTTGGATTTCGATTGAGTGTTCCATTGAGCCTTTAATTAAAAATGTAGGGGAAAACAGTGAGCCCACCAGCAAAGATATTAAAAGCATTTTCATGTATTTAGTCAGTGCCACATCATCAAGCTGCCGAATTGCCTTTGTCAAATAGCATGCGGATCTGTCCCAAACACAAATATTCCCGACCCCCGCTTCACAGTGCAATCAAGCGTCTGCCAGTTATCAGAAGCTGACACTCTTAGCCTAAGCTTATCCGTGCATCCAACAGAACTCAATGAATGTTTTCTCACCTTTATTCAGACAGTGCGGTCCAGTACCTCGATCCATTGCTTGAAAATGGCTCTGTATATTCACACAGCCAAGGCATGGGTGGAAGAACTAGTTCTGGAACAGTTATTAATCATTATATTTTATGTTTAAAAAAAAAAACAATACAGTGTTGGGTAAATCACACACAATTTATGTTGTTTACTTTCACATTTAAAGAGTGGGTAATACAAACAATTAATCATACTTTTTCCATATTTTCCCCTTTATTTCCACCATGCAGCGAGTTCCATTAAACGAGGTGATGAGGCATGTTTATCACCGATCTCAATGCTCAGTTGCTGTGACTCAAAGGCTTTTTTTTTTGTGCATTTAATAATTCAAAAACACTTTCAATGTGTGGCACAGTAGGAGGACTAATACTGCTATTCGTCGTTTTTTATTTATTCCCATTTATCCACAAAGTTGTCAAAGTTCGCCATTTGACCTATTTAAGAGAGTCCACTCACGGGTTTCCATGACTCTCCATGTCAAGCCACATCCCAAAAAATTAAAATCAAACTTATTTTTACTGAACAGCAAACTGATGCTCAATCATTTTTCCCCCACTTTACTCTTTTATTAATAACCATACATTCAGAGGACAAGCACTTTTCACAAGCATGCCAGTCACTGGTCACTGTCTACACACTGCCCATGGGAGAGTATAAAGAGCCCTTTCTCTGCTCGCACTTCAATCCACGGTCTCGTAGCAGCAAGAGAAGGTTTGCTAATATTATTTTTGGGCATGCACATATTTCATCGGCATTAACCCTTTTGGAACCCGAGTTTTTTTTTGTTTTTTTTCAACAAAATATTCAGTTTTGACAACACTATTTCGAAAGGTTGTAGCTTGAAAGTGGCTACAGCTCAAGACAAAGGTGCTGCAAATGTCGCTTGGTGCATCTGAATGGAACTGTATGAGCCCAGGCAGCCTGCACGGAGAGCGAACCAATATACTCTCGATGTTCATGTTATTTTTCATTTTGCATCAGCAGTTCTTGTTGAGCAAAACCAGTTGAGGAATAGTACTAAAACATTTGACTGTGTGCTATATGTGTCTATCTATGGATGCTGTGTATAAAGTTATCATAGGATGATAGAGCATAAAATACGTTTGACTCTTGATAGATTCTTTATTCACTTCTCTTTTCATTCACTAGAGTCAACTTTTGGACTGCAGCTCCCGCTCATATCACCCATCCTCTTTTTAACTTTGACCCTAAGTCACTGCTCTGCACTGCAAATCTTCCGATGTTATCATTCTCTGGTGGATGGTCAGGAGTGTACAGTTGTGCAGGTAACATTCCTCGCATTCTGCCACATCCCTGGACTGCTGACCTGACTTCACTCCTTCCGCTGCGGGGGACACGTTGTTTGATTCCTGTTCAATTTTCGGGGGCCAGTTCACTTCTCACATATTTGGCCAGAAAGAAGAGCAAGAAAAGTAAATGTGAACTGGTTTCAACTTGTCCAATGAGAATGGTGTTTGTAATAGCTGTGGCCCCTCATTGCCATTAATCATAGAGAACCGCTCCAGGCGCAATTGTGTGCAATGGACGAAAGTGAATGATCTCGACTGACATCTGTTTACATCCATCCATTCATGTTCGGTATTGCTTGAAACTATTTTATTGGCTCTTTTTTTCATATGTTCTGGATTCATAGAACATGCTGTCACACTGAGACAAAAATAAAACCTCAAGAAAATTCATTGGGAAAAAAGAAAGTGATGATTTAGTTTCAATTTATTTGCTGCTAAATACATTAACTGTATTGCAGTCACATTCACTTTGATTGAAAGAGCTTCTGACCCTGCGAACACTTGCCGCATCTTTATTCTGCTGATTAAACAGACAGTAAGCATTTATTTATTTAGCTTTTTTTTTTGTTCTTATTCTGTACTGAATTTACTGAAAATCCAGAGTCCTTCGGTAGCGGTTAATTAACAATTTCTCACATCTACGTTATTTGGTTTTAGCTTTGATCTCCTCCTTTCCTCTTTTGCAGAACAGGACTGAGAGCTTTTATTCCCTCCGGTGTTTCTGAGTCATTCTGTCTGGCAAAGAGCACAAGCACAAACTTGCATAAAGGGGATGTGAATATACAATAAACCTTTTAACTAGGACAGAACCCGACAATGTGATTATAATAAAATGATAATTGTCAATCTGGAACATCTGTAGTCCCGATGAGGCTCAGATGCCCTCACATGTTTTTCAGTACGATAGCTCAGACGTTTTATGGCACGAATCAAGCTGGATTACATTCTCACGAGCATGTAATATTGCAGTTCCGTTTCAACATGTCTGAGTGTTTTATTTGCAAAAGTGGTCTGGGGAATGGTCTGACTAAAGAACAGGTAGAAATTGCAGGCAAAGGCTTAAAGTGTCTCATGTTTAGCGCTGAAAGACCCAACTTCCTTTTTTTTTTTTTGCAAACATCTCGCCTCTTCAAACAATTAGCGCAGCTTGGATGCTTCCGCTTCACAACTGCTGGCGTTTGAGGATCACAGCTGCTCAGTGAGGGAGGAAAGTGGAGACTTGAGACCCGAGTACCTTTTGGCATTCCACACCAATCTGACACATCGACTTTGTCAAACACACACACTCACATGCACAGGGTCAAGAAGACAGGCGGGGAGAGGATGGGATGTGGCCGCCTCCTTGGAATGCATTTCTTTCGAAAGCGTTAAATCTGGCTCCAGTTGCATTTTAAATCATATTGGCGAATGTATATTGCATTCATACATCACACACTATTGATAAAATTCAGATGTCTTGAGCTGGATATGATGAAAGCTGAAAATGCATGGTCCGCTCAAACCAAAGCAGCTTCCTTCCAGGACAGCGATTTTTCTGTAGTATATGTGGAGATGCTATGATGCATTCAAGACCTGAGAGTTTCCATGAATGCTGCTGGAAATACCAAGCGCATTCATCGCCCCAAATGGTGAAAGAGTCCATTTAAAAGCTTGGAGGTTGGACACAAGTTGAGTTGACTGTCTGGGGGGTCGTAGCCTTCCCTCTGTACACGCCAGAAGGGTTTGAAACAGACTGCAGGGCCCTATTGAAGGAGGAGGAGGAGGAGGAGATGCTCCAAAACTATGAAAGACGACACATTTGCTTCTATAAACATCCAATATTTGTGTTTCCAGATATAAAGTATTATGGACCAGAATGAATGTTATTTTTTGCTGTCCTTTGACATCAGACTCACACTCTATCCACACAGTACATACATTTGAAAATGAACGAAGTAAAATTGAACGGAAATTACGAGAACATCTGACTTATTAGCATCATGTAAACAGTTATGTGTGTTTTTGGTTTTGGGGAGTCATTTATTTAAATCACTGCGCACGCGTGTAGGTGTACGTGTGTGCATGTGTGTGAGGCAGACAGAGTGAGAGGTTGCTTTTTCAACGCTTGCCAATACAGTGCCTTACTTGTTACTTTTAGGTCCTCCACTTGGCACACGTAAGACATCCCGTGTCACATGTCAAAGTGTGAAAGTAAACGGTTTTGAAAAGATTCATAAGATCCTTCTCAAATGTACCAGCCAAGTGCTGAAAGACAGTAGTGCACCATCGGTCTAACATCCACATTTTGTAAAATATGGTTTGACTACATTTTGACTCATTTATGAATACAGTACCGTTGACACTTAAAAGGTTAACACAGTCAACTATGGATTTTTAAAAGATTTTTTGATTACTACCTGTAACTAAGTGCTGCTGAGTGAAAGTGCTTAGGGGAGCTAAGCAGCCCTTATTAATATAATTACTGCCTCATTTTTAAGAAAAAAACAGTCAACTCTCAATATTTGTTCAACTGTTTTTTGAGTTTGTTCATGTGACAGCTGATTGGTCGTTCCTTGAGCAACTGCGATATCATTTTCAGCCGACAGAAAGTGGCAAAAGGGTTTTGGTTTTTACCATAATGTAATTAATACATTTGTTACTTTACAATTCATCACAACTTTTCTGGCTGCACGTGTCCTTTGTCACCATCTGTCTGTCATTCAAAGTTCTGTATTCGCCTCATCTGACTTTGCCTCTGCAGCTTTATTCTCAGATAAATACTGTATGTATTGATTTTCTGAAATTCCTACCACTCTAGAGATCTCCATCTCACATTTTACTCTCTCTCTCAGCCAGCCACTCCCCTTCTTCAGCATCTCACCACTTCCCATCCATTCAATGCTTTACGCTGGGATAGAAGGAGGATCAAGTGTCCACGGTTCCTCCCATCACCTGTGAAATTTCTGAGTCAGTTCACGGTGAAAGGGGGCATTGTGTCCCCCTGATGAGGAATGCCCTTGCGTCGCTCCTCAAAGAAATGGCTTCGTTTGGTCAGGAATTTGGAGGCATCTTGAGAAGTGTTGCAGTCTTTTTCTGTGGGCTTGGTGATAGGAAGCAGAAGACTTCAGGCTGCGCAGATTAGTCTGCTACTCTCATTAAGTGTTAGGCCTACTTCTAAATCAAAATTTGCCCGGAAGACAATTGCAATATGTATCCGAAAATAGTACATAATGATAAATCAAACGGATGTGCAGTGATCTACATCTTTACATATGTAGCGTTGCATATTTTCAACAGTTCCGTACATGAACGACATGGGCGAGTTTATTTAGATTTTGTTTTGCACTCAGTAACTTGGAACGTCTCACTGGAGCATGCTGCGTGCTGCTACTGCTGATTTCATGTGCTGAGGTTGACACCTGGTGGTTAAAAACAACATGAAAGTGCATAAAATACCAATTTCCAGGACCACAATAGAAAAGCGGGAGATGAGTCAGTTTCTTCATGTGTCTCTACTCGATTTATTCCATTTAATCGTTTGTCCTACTTAATTGTTGACTACCTACATTCATATGCAAATGTCTATATTAGGTTACATTCCCAGTTTGTGTTGCACATAATATCGGCAATATAACCGTGCTGCTCATGGAGTGTGAAGGGAGTGGTTAGGAATTAGATTTATAGAAATTATATTCCTGTTTTATATTGAACATGTATAGTATAGGTTTCAGTTTTTGAATCGAAATGTTGGAATAAATGAATGAATATGATGTACAGTATTGTAGGTAGGATGTATTTTACTATTGTTATGGGTTCAACAAAATGTAGTTGAAAAATATGTTGTATTTATGTATTTATTAAATCTGAATCTATTTGAAATTCTTTCTTATCACACTTTAATGGCTGTCTGCTGCCCATAGAGATTTGCGTATTAAATTAAGGGACAACTGATGATATTCCATACTTGAACAAAAGGGGGCGATGGCATCCGTTTGTTGCTTAACGACCACATGTATTGTGTCAGAGGAAGAGCGCTCCACTCCGGAAGTTTATTTCATGCTGTCGTATTTCTGCAACGGATTTATTGTATACGATTGTAGAAATCAATCATGCATGATGTATGAAAATCAATATATTCAAATTCAACGATCTTAAAAAGTGGCAATGTTAGATGGCCGCCGTGGGCTTCACTTCTTGCGACGGCAGATAAGCGGCATTGTTTGTCGTCCATTCATTATAACCCGTGGCTACTCTGGCCAGCTAGCATAGCAACCAGATAAAGGTGAGTTTTTAATAACCTTAATGTTTTTTGTTGGGTTTATAAAAGCACCTACGCTTAACGGAATTTAAATGTAGTGGCAGCAGACTGGTCGACAAGCTTGAGTTAATTCGTTAACGTGCAGAAGTTTTCACGTAAGCACAACTGATTCAACATCGCTGCTTTCTTTTGAAAGTAAACCAAGCAAATAACAAGCAACACAAACGTCTTGACATAAATGTTTAACACTTAAATGTAAGCAGGTTTTATGGAGACATGGTTGGTACATGGCACTCACCTCCTTGCGATCTAATTACATGACATTAGTTGCTGTACCACAATTCCTGAGAGAAGGGACGCATCCAAAATAAGTTCTGTACGATATACAACCTCCAGTCACACTACCACAAGCTCCGGCCCCAGGATTTTACAAGACACATTACTGTACATATGTTACTATGGCAGGGTTTTGGTGACAACCAACTTTGGCTGATGATGGTTGTGATTAGTAACACTAATGGATAAAACTGTTTCTAAAATGATTGGAATGTAGTACTTAATACATTGTTAAATAAAGCTGCTATGCCTGCAGAGAAATGGACCTGTCTGAGGAATCTCCCAAGAAGCATGGAAGTAAGACACTGTTGGTGCGCCATTTACCAGCTGAGCTGAGCGAGGATGAGAAGGAGGATCTGCTCAAGTATTTTGGCGCTCAATCCGTCAGAGTTTTCTCCAACTTTGGCCGCATGGTTGGTTCAGTGCAATGCAATAGTTAATTTCATTCTCATGAATTTCAAAAGATGCACAAAGTTACAAACATGGATAAAATCTCTCAGGTGTCTGTGCTTCTCTGGCCTTTTTTTTTTTTTTTTTACCCTCCTGCTCAGATGGCTGTCTTTTTTGGTCATTCTGTGCCAATCTTTTCTCTCCACAGAAACACACAGCATTTGCAACGTTTTGCAGCGAAAAAGCTGCAGAAAAGGTGAGCCTCTAATAACAAATACTGGCACTTGTACCATGCTTGTTTTATATTACACTCAAATACGTTGTTTACTTGCGAAACATCTGTTCAAGGCTCTTAGCCGGCTCCATCAGCTAGAGATTCTCAATCGAAAGCTTATTGTGGAGTTTGCAAAAGGCCAAGATAACGTCACAGTATTAAAGGATCCACCTGTGTCAGATAGGTAGGCGACTGCATTGCCTCTCAGAATTCCCATGACATATACTGATTAATGGTTAGAAATTCAATCAATGATTCAAGCTATTTGTTTCTGTTTTTCAAACAGTAATAAGACTGACAAGGAAGCGCAGAATAAACCAGAAACGAAGCAGCCTAAAGTTCCTCTCATTGAGACGGGAATTGCTCCAAGTCTTGGGTGAGTGTTGGAACATTTTTGTCGATTTAATGATGTGGTCATTTTAAATTCATAGTCAAGGTAGGCGCACTTACCCGAGGAGCTATAACTTTCCACAGTGTCTTTTTTTTTTTTTTTTTCTTGGGTAAGTGTGCCACTTATTTCACAATCTGGGCTGATGTGCATCATTGTGTTGAAGTGGGACACCGAGGCTGGATTTCCGGTGCCCTGCAGTGCTTCAGCTAGTGCATATTTTTAGAATTGAGTATTCTACTGATGTTTCCGTTGCTTGATAATTATTTGAGAACCTTACAATAGATAAACTAATGCAGTTACACCGCTGCACTACATAATTGTCTCTTGATTGTGTTCATTTTCAACTCTTTCACTGACTAATTATCAGTAAGTTGCTGTTGTTTGTATTCTCCACTTGTAAAATGTGCATTTTTGTAATCATACGTTTCTGTCAATTACAGGTTGAAATACCACTCGAACCCCTCTTTGAGGTATTTGTACCCACCCCCTTCCAATAGCGTTCTGACGAATATAACACACACCCTCTTGTGTGTGCCCAAGTTTTACGTTCAAGTGAGTACATTGTTTCCTTTTGTACATCTTTTTATTTTTCTCAGTCTGTAATTTTGTGATATGCAGATGATCTTTTTTTTTCTGAACTGTGCATTTTGCACGCTGTGTACATTTGAAGATAAAAGTGGTAATTTGTAACAAAATCCATCTCTGCATTTTTAGCCTTGGGAGACGAGCTATTCTAAACTGAAAGTGGTCTTTGAACTGCATCCATTGCCTTGAAAGATCATCTGGCAAACATTTATCTTTTGAAATTCCAATTTGCGCGTGTTAATAATAAACCGTAAGTGGGAAGCATGAGTTATGGGTTTAACATTTCCCTGGGAGCCGAGCCGCCTGGATTTTCAACGCTGCTGTTTGCACCTTTTGCTTCTTGGTGGCGCTCTTGTGTTGAAGCGGCATCAGCACCACCCCCCACACCCCCTACACCCCTCCTCACCTCTCTCACACTTCTCACCTCAATCTCTCCTTGATCCGTGCATTTCCAATGAAAAGCACAAAAGCTATGTGCAATCTGTTTGTTGGCGCTGTTTGGTTTTTATTTGCAGGTATTGTATGAACCGAACCATAGCTCGAAAGGGTTGTCCATTTTTTTTTTCCAATTTAACAGGTTCTGCATCTGATGAACAAGATGAATTTACCCTGTCCGTTTGGACCTGTCACTCCGAGACCCCCCGTGGTGAGCTTGTTATTTTTTTTTCAGGCCTTTGGATGTAAATGACTTCTTCTCAAACAAGTCATTAGTTATATCATAGAGAGCCAGTTAAAAATAAGCTCAGTCGTTTCTCAAACTTGTCTCTTAGTTTGGACATCTGCCTACTGCCCCACCCATGCCCATGCCTCCCCCATTGCCTCCTGATCTCCCGCCGACGCCGGCGGAGGAAATGGAAATGTCCTCTGATGAAGAGTCTGAGTATGAGAGTGGAGATGATGAAGACAAGGAGAGGTGAGAAGTCGGATATTCACGTGAGACCACTTGATTGTCCTTCAAGAAAAGATGCCACACACAAGATATTTGGTCATTTTGGCGTTATCATGCTTTGGAGACCACATTGCTAACCCGATTAATTTGTCGTTTTGATCATAGAGACAGACCTGTTTGTGCATATAAAGCTTCCCCGGTGTTGAAAGTCACAACACTCTGCACAACCGCTTTTGCGTTTCCTACAAAGGCAGAATCAAAAATCCATGCTGGTTTGGTTTCAGGATTGTTCGTCTGATGGGTCTGGTCAACCAAGCATGCAAGCGACCCCTGAGACCAAAAACAGCTTTGAAAAGGAAGAAGCCCAAGATCAAGGATCTCCTCTATGCGCCCAAACCAGACTCTCAGAGGTACAACAGAAGCACTCGCGCGTGTCCTCACGCATCCATTCAGGCTCACAATCTGCTTTTAGAGGAAGGCCTCTGAGGTACAATGTTTTTGTCACAAATGCAACTTGTTGCCGGTTGAGGACGGTACCGCCCGTGCACTCGCTCCCTTAACGACACACCACAAATTCTCCCAAACTTGATTTGCTCGGTGTCTGCTGGCGGCTTGTGGGCGGACTGGGAACCGTTGACCGGATGACCGTGGGCCCCTTTTGCCATATAGGAGCCAGGTTTTATTGCGGGTTCTTTTTAAAGAGCGCCTGCTCAGGAATGTGCCGTTTTTTTCTCTGCTGTCTTCAGTACTCCGGTCGTGCAGCCATCAGACGTGTTTGAGCAGCCCAACCCCACCGGACCGAAGAAAATAGAATTCCACATTTCGGTTTCAGAGGTGGCAGCCAGGGTGGAAGGAAGTAGGACGCGGTGTGATGACGGTATGCTTCCCTATTCAGACCTTGGATAGCCACTTTTAATTTATCCATCACAAATTGATTTTATCGACATACATCGTGTACCGATCACCTACTTTTGCACGAGAATGAGCCGATTACAATCAGTGGCCGGTGGATCGGAGCGGCACTATGACCACTCTCAACTTTTTAAAATTAATGTCAACATTATTGTGGGAAAGGCACATGAGTTAAAAATGTTTTTGTCATGCATCTCATTGGAATGGCCAAGTTGGCCCAATGTTGGCGATTGAGTGTTTATAATCCTCTCGGAAATTACGATTAGATCAATGTTGTGGCATTTGTTAAGAATGTGCTATCGGGATTAGATCTCATGTAAAGATGTTTCCTACCATCAGATCGGACCAAGAGCGGTTTGATGCATGTGCTATCTGTGGAGGTAGTCAGAGCAGCAATACTGTATATCACACCGAACAGCCAGCTTGCACTGAAAAGGTGTTGCCATTATCAGTGTGAAGAAATGTCATTTGCGGGGAGGGAGCGTCGGCGGCTGTGTTACGTGACGGCTGTGCGCTTTCCTTTTTTTCCTTCTATATTTATTTGGACATCTTATCTCTCGCTACAACTTGACTCTCCAGCAAACTCCAGAGAAGTAAAATAGATCTCAAAGTCAAGCGCGGCAGATTTCCTTAAGGCATGGAAGGAAGATAAACGACGACAGGTGGCTTTTTGGATTAGTCTTGTTTTGTCTGATAAACAAGCCATTTCTATGAAAAGGAAAGAGGGGCAGATAAGTGGGAGTAAATATTGAAGAAGGAAAAAAAAAGCCTCGCTCTGGTGCACTCACACTTAATGGCTAATAACTGTTTCTCCCGTGTGGGTTTGCTTATTTTAATTCCGTGTCGCACATCATGTGCTTGTGTGACCGTCTCTGGTCTATTCTTTCTCCCTACAATTATGAAAAAAAGAAATGAGTGAGAGACACTCCCACAGAATTGTCACTCCTTGCTTCGACTTTTATGACCGTTGCCTCTCCAACAATGAGCATATCTGTTCCATCTAACTGTTGCTTCATGCAACTGCGACCAGTCCTTGCTGATAGTATTCACAGCCTCTTCATCTTCACCCGTTTCTCCCTCTTTCTCATCCATCTCCATGGCCACCGGGCGACAATTCCCGGTACGGCCTCATCTCTGTCTGGCGTGGTGCTGAAATACGCTAATGATAAGATGGCCAGTCAACTTGCAGCCAGCGGTGGCGGCTGACATTCGCAGTAGCACTTCGACTCGCAATGATTCACTGCCACTGCTGCAGCGGCTCAGATACATCTCCAAAACCGTGCAGTTTTCCATTTTGAGGTTCCATTCATGTTCACAAAGGGTCCATTTACTTTGTTATGGGAAGGAAGAACAAAAAAAAAACATAAATAATAAAGCATTCTAATTCAAATCCAGTTGCTAGTAGTCCATGCCAAGCTAGTGACTTTTTTGGGGGGGAAGAGGCTGCTTCAACAGCTCCAGTTTGTCCTTCAGATATGGATAACATAGAGGTTACCATCAACAACCAAACAGAGGCCGCAGATGGATTTGGGAAGATCTACCCCAACGTCCAGTCGCCCAAGCCATGCGATGAGCAGAGTGACGAAGAGCAGGATCTCCCCTCGGATGTCATCTCAATCAAAGAGCTTGAGAAAGGACGTCTCTCACGAGACGGTAAACAAGGAGATGACAAAATGCGTACGCGCGCATACTCCAATATTATCTGAAACTCAGTTTCCTCCCCTAAAACAGAGATTAAAAGGATGTCGGTGTTTAAGAATTATGAGCCGGGTGAGCCGACCTGCAGACTGTATGTGAAGAATATCGCAAAGCAAGTGGAAGAGAAAGTAGGTTCTTTTCTGGCACGTGCCCCACTTATGTTCTCATGTTTATTGCTGAAGTCATCAGATTGCTTCATCGTTGAATGTCAAAGTAAAACAATCCCATCATTATTAGTCTCTTATTTATTTTCTTTCTGTTCATCATTCAGGACCTAAAGTACATCTACGGGAGATACATCGATCCCTCGTCAGAAACGGAAAGAAACATGTAAGTGTCCTTTTTTTCCCCTATGGGACAAATTACTTGAGTGTTGAGGACTGATTTGATAAAATGGCAGCTGAAGAAACAAGTCTTGTCAACATCATATTGACACCGTCTTGAATTCGGCTATTTTTGACTCGAGCAATTTGTCTCTCGAGATTCTAGTAATGCATGCTCACTGTGATACATGCTTGAAAATAAGCATCATAATCCAATGTCTTTTCTCAGTTTGGTTTACTTACTTAGCAACATGAAGGGCCGACATATTGGAACCACCCATGCAGTGTAAATCAACACAACAATTGACGGTGTTAAGAGTCCAGTGTGTGTCCGTGACCCAGTGTTGAAATTTTGTGAAACGGGGAGGATTAAACATGCGGCACCAGGAGCCGAGATCACAAGCTTTATAGCATCATTCGCTTTGCAATTGAAAGTATCACTCCTGAGTCGCAGGGCTCTCCCCAGAGTGTCGTTTAGGCTCCAGCAAGCTGTTTTTTAATAGAAGAAAATGTAAAGCTCTTCCATTTGCTGCATCCATATTTTCAGACCTGATTGGAGTGCCATAAAAGACCTGTAGTTAAAGAGCAAACACGCTTCTTTTTTTCACTTTTTTCATTTCCCCAGGCCTCTATTGCTTCTCTAATGCGCACTTTTTTTTGTGTTGCGGGCTAAGCAGATGCATTTTTTTTTCCCTAAGCGCGCACAGCAACCATGAGTGCTAATGATGGTCCCCTGCTTCCCGTTCCTCCGCCAGGTTTGACGTGGTTTTAATGAAGGAGGGCCGGATGAAAGGACAGGCCTTTGTCGGACTTTCCAGTGAGCAGCGTGCCGAGAAAGCCCTGCGGGAAACCAACGGCTTTATTCTCTTCGACAAACCCCTCGTGGTGGTATCCTTTTTGTGACTTGCTCCGTTGCGGCAGCTCATGATGTCATTTGACCACAACGTGGTCAGCATGTCAGCTAATGGACAAAATTGGTGGTCATCGTCAAAGACGATGGGGCATGTTGTTTAGGATGTGAGTGTAAACATTGACCTTTGTAATGTTTAATGGCCTTAACTGTGAATTGCAGCAATTTGCTCGATCGGCCAGGCCAAAACAAGACAATAACGATGCCAAGAAAAAAGCAAAACGATAACATTTGCAGGTGAGTATTGTTTTAAAAAAAAATGTATGTAGTAATTTATAGAGTCATTGATGAAGTATTTAGTCATGAAAATGACAAATTTGAAATAGCCAAAGCAACAACTGAAGTATGTTACTGTAATTCCTCTAATAGCGGGCTTTTGCTTTAATAGACGCCATGCCCCAATGAATCGACTGCGTGTGTCATTCAGTTGAACAACCAAGCACGGCACTTGAACGAGATACCTCCTGAAACCAACCAAAAAAAAAAAAAAAGCAATTGTCATCATTAAGAGGCCAAATATAAATAGCTGGAGTGTTGAGTTTTGACATTTGAGTTAGCTGCATCTGCATATTATCATCCAAATATAATCAAAATTCAAGACCGTTTCATACGATTGCATGTGGTCCACTGTTTACGTACTGACATGTTTCAAGGTTACCAACATTGCATAATAACCTAAGTCGTAGAGCAGCGTGCGAAAACATTGTAACGCAGGGGTACCCCCTGTGTGTAAAAATAAATGGAAGGAACTGCAGTCGTGATTTCTTTTCCTGGATTGTGACAGAGTTCACATTGTCATGCTTTTCTTTTCAATTTGTGTTTACACTTCATTCATCCAAGATGCCAAGGCTTGAATTTGTGGGCCAGCAGAACCGTTTGTATCCTTATGCGAACATATCCTTTGGAGAAAGAAAGAAAAAAACAATCTCAAGAAAAGAGGGCACTTCTATTTGTGGCACCAATGGAACATGTAGTATTGACCTTTTAAGCACATTGATCTACATTTACAAGGACAGAGCGCTAGTTGTTCCTGCATTCAGTGACTTGGGTCGGAAGTAAATGCGACTTAAATGTTGTTTGACAGTTTTTTCTACCTCGTCTGGCTGAATTTCAGGTGATGATCATCAGAGGCCGTCTTCATCTATTATTTAATAAAATATGTTTTTCTTAAAATGAGGTCATGTCATGTGTTCAGCACACAAACGCGCATATCGACACGTTACAGGGACTTTTTATTCCGAAGCATCTAATATTCAAGGGGTATGAAATCAAGATGGTCGCCTTTTGGCAGACGCAGGTTTAAAAAAAAAAAATAAAGACTGCAAACAAAGCAAATAGAGTGAAGTCAGTGGGAAATTGCTCCAGCCGCTTTAGCTTCCCTTTACCATCCCAGCTAGCCCCACCTGCGTTATTACTGAGAGTAAACCTCAGAGAGTGAACTTTCTCCCTCAGCAGCTGTCATATCAGAGGATTTGGAAATCCAATTGTTTTTGTCCTCTGTGGGGGCGAGTAATACTAGAAGTGTAGTGGGTAGATTTTGTCAGCCAGAGTTGAATTCAACTTGGAGAAGTCTTCTTTTGAGATAAGGTGGCTTAACACCTCCGTTGTTGCTGACCACTGGAAGCATTTGGATGTTCCAAGGGTAGTTTTGTTGTCTGACCTCTCAAAGAATTCCCTTCAAGAAAATATCTTCGACAAATGTCGCGCTATTCAAAAAGCGGCACACACTTTGTTGGTGGGCTTCATTGAATTTTAATGTTGCGATGTCTGTGTTTGAAGTGCTTGAATTATAAAAGGGTTTCTTAGCATTTATTTCACAACAGCTCACCGTTGAGTAGAGGCTCAGCTCTTTTTTGATTATCAACTCAAACAGAAGAAGAGTTCATCCCTTTCAAGTAATTTACATGTGATAAAGCACTGTGAATGCCTCGGCGTCTTTCTACATTTTTGCTATCGCTCGAAGAGCTTGAAAAGATGACCTTGCTTGAATTTGTCTGAGAATTGTTTTCATTAGATGTCAAAAGCTAAATGCCGGCAATACCTCAAAAGCATTTCAGAAGCGCATTACTGCAACAGAAAACACTTTCCTGTGAGCTACAAGGTCATGTCACTTCGCCTCACCACCCACATCATTAGATAAGTGTAATAAATCCACTGAGAATTTTGTTCAGATTTTCATTACTTCACCACTGAAAACAGCCATGTGCCAATAATATCTATCAGTCAATCAAAGGTGCGCACTGTTGACTCCATGATGACTCCAACGTTTTCAAGCACTTGGGTCTTAAACTGGGCAGTGATATTTTTTTATTTTTATTTTTGCATTGGACCGGCAAATTGGTGCTGTTGTCAAATCTTTCATCTGAGGCAACTGGCCAAAGTAAAGCCTCTCTTTTCTCATGAGCACATTGAAACAGTAATTCATGCCTTTGTCACATCTGGGCTTGATTACTGCAATGGACTTTGCTTTTCAGGCGTTTACATTTATGCTCTAAAAGTTTAGGCCATGAACTAGTCGTTCGTGCCAAAGAAGACTGATTTTTACATCTGGCAAGTCGAAGTGAACTTAACATATTCCAGTTAATGCAGCTATTCTTTTTAATTTCTTTGCTTTGGAATCAGCCGATCCTCCATTAAGCGTCTCCAGTTGGTCCAAAATGCTGAAATGCTGCTGCTCGCGGCTTGACTGGTACTTGTAAGAGGGAGCACATAACTGTGTGTGTGTGTGTGTGTGTGTGTGTGTGTGTGTGTGTGTGTGTGTGTGTGTGCGTGTGTGTGTGTGTGTGTGTGTTCAGGCGTTTACATTTATGTTCTAAAAGTTTAGGTCATGAACCAGTTGTTCGTGCCAAAGAAGACTGATTTTTACATCTGGCAAGTCGAAGTGAACTTAACATATTCCAGTTAATGCAGCTATTCTTTTTAATTTCAATGCAAAGGCAATTCTGCTGCAGCTTTTCTGTTGCGTGCAAAAATATTAGCACATTACATTTCTGTGGTTAAGGTCCAAGCAAACAGGGTCATCCATCACATGCGCTCATCTGGTCTGACCTGCAGCCTATATCTCCCGCATGGAGAGGAGTGGGGCGGAGGTCCCATCTGTGGCCGCCTCTCTCCGCCTTGCCAACGATGACAAATGCGCACCCCCGCCGTAGAAATATTGAGTTACTAAGGCATTTATCAGGTAAGATTTGAGCAAGATGAACGCTAACCTTTTGTAAGTAGACTCAGATGAAGATAAATGCCGTGCGCCAGCTCTGTCTATTTCATACTGGCGCTGCATCTGCACGCTTATCATTAGAATATTTGACTTGTTTGGCATCTATTGAACAAGAGAGTTTGCTGTGGTCTCTCGATCGCCGAATCTTCTCAACTCATGGAAATTGTGGCATCACTCTACAGTCAGGCTATCGTTCTCAAAAGAGTTGTCTTGTAGGTTACTACTGTAATAGCAAAAGTGGTCATAAAGTACCAATCAAGGACATATAGTAGAGTATAACAAATTGCTTAAAAAGAAAAAAAAAAGTCAGTCCTGTTTTATGCTTTACGTTTTCAAGCGGCACACAATGAGTTAAGGCAAAATAATCACCAACTATAAGAATGTCTCTTCAGATTTTTGAGGAAGTGGACATTTGGTGCGTCATTCCTAATGCTCTTTGACTCTCATGAAGTAGACTCTGATGAAGATAAATGCCGTGCGCCAGCTCTGTCTGTTTCATACTGGCGCTGCATATGCGCGCTTATCATTAGAATATTTGACTTGTTTGGCATCCATTGAACAAGAGAGTTTGCTGTGGTGTCTCGATCGCCGAATCTTCTCAACTCATGGAAATTGTGGCATCACTCTACAGTCAGGCTATCGTTCTCAAAAGAGTTGTCTTGTAGGTTACTACTGTAATTGCAAAAGTGGTCATAAAGTACCAATCAAGGACATGTAGTAGAGTATAACAAATTGCTTAAAAAGTCATGTTTTATGCTTAACGTTTTCAAGCGGCACGCAATGAGTTAAGGCAAAATAACCACCAACTAGAAGAATGTCTCTTCAGCTTTTTGAGTAAGTGTACCTTTGGTGCGTCATTCCTAATGCTCTTTGACTCTCATTGAATTGCCTTAGAGATTCGGAGGACCGACGCTAAGTTGACACTTGACTTGTACCGTCTTTGTTCAAGACTTGACACAAACAGCAGAAGACACACACTGCTTGGTCATCTCATTGCCAGCCTCAGTCCTATGAGTCAAAGTCACTTGGAGAGCAAAAGTGTCAATTCTGAGGTACGCTTATTCATTATGAAGAGAGCGATGGCTTCACTATGCATATTTCATTTGCCAAAAGCTTGCAAGTTTAATGAAGTTGTCCGAATGAGTAGCATATAAAGCCGAAGGAAAGTAATGTGCTTCAAAAATTTATCCTCAATGTCTTTGGTAAAAATGAAGTCCAATGTCATTCAATTCATTTAGAGCGGAGTTTTATTTAACCACTAAATTGGCATATTTTCCACCCCCTCCCCCGATCCCCCCAGTACAACCTACTTGTCTTTCTTTGCCTATTTTGAGTGTAATAACTGTTAGCAGATATGCGGAGAGACGTTCTGCAAAACTGTTCTCACAATGTCAAACTGCTCCGGCATTGAGATTAGATATTCATCCCCGTGCAAGTCGCCACTTCCGTTTTGTGACTTTGTTTGAGGGGCCTGCAAATTCTCAGCCTCGGCCGCATCCGCAGCAACCTTGTTTATTCCCCACAGAGACATTAGCAAAGCTGTAAAAGTATTTATGGTGGTACAAATGTGGGACAGCCAATCTAAGACAAATCTATAAATCCTGGCTGTTGATTTCTCAGGGCCAGGAGGTGCAGGCCAGTGATCAGTGGAGGTAGAAAGTATTCCCCCGGTGACTCTGTGAGTAACGCGCAGACGCTGAGCAGCATGCCAAACAGTGTTACAGCGACGCTGTTGTGCTTTTAAAATGGCCAAGCTGGCCTTCGCCTCTAAAGTGAGACGCAGACCAGCTATCCATCTAGCATGCGTTGGTATCATTAGCTAGCACCCAACTGGGATCCGACTCAGCAGTCGGTGCGTGTGCTACAATTTGCACCTTGTTCTTCAACTGGTATACAATGATGACATCACATGGAAAATGTTCCGTGATGCTAAACATGCATTCTCTCGGGTGCGTGCAGCATTCCAGTTGCAACAATAATAATACAGCAATACGTTTTTTTGTTTTTTTTTTAATCCAGATTTGATTCCGTTATTTGCACTTTGTGCTCTCAAAAATAATTTGAAGATGTCTTCTCAGTGTCTTTGCCTCAATGAACTTCCTTCTTTGATGAGATTTGCACAATGTGTAGGAGAGAGTGCAGGGCAATGTTAACAAAGGAAATCAATGATGTAAGTAAACATACCGGTACGATTTGAGGTGCGTGCAGCATTCCAGTTGCAATAATAATAATACAGCAATACGTTTTTTTTTTTGTTTGTTTTTTTGGGGTTTTTATGGGGCGGCGGTGGGGGTCCAGATTTGATTCCGTTATTTGCACTTTGTGCTCTCAAAAATAAGTTGAAGATTTCTTCTCAGTGTCTTTGCCTCGATGAACTTCCTTCTTTGATGAGATTTGCACAATGTGTAGGAGAGAGTGCAGGGCAATGTTAACAAAGGAAATCAATGATGTAAGTAAACATACCGGTACGATTTGCTTTCACATGCTAGGCCAAAAGTAATCTATGAATCGGAATGGTCCGGGAGGAATTTGTACATCCTGTCGGAAAGTTAATAACAAAAGTTATCCGGTCCTGGGATTGGAATTGGATATTAATCCTTGAATCAAGAATAATCACCACCGAAGGTTCAGAAAGTGAAATGGCCGAGTGAGCCTCTCTGCTGGATTCATTCAGCAGGCGTCCTGGCGGGTTTACGACTCG